CTGACTCTAGGCACTTAACAAGGTCTTGCACTTATCTGTTAGTGTCCTTTGATGAAAATGACTTGCTCCTGAAATCTCATTCAAGACCCAACTTGAATGTTACATCCTGCATGAAGCCTTTCCTAATTTCCTTCAGCTATAAGAACTTTCTCTCTTCTGAGTTCCTACAGATGTCTATGTACACATACATATCTTGAGTTAGATCCATACCATCTCTTCGAAAGGCTCCGGAGTCTTTGGAAGGTATGGCGTGAACTTCCCATCCGGCCTCCGTAAATGCACCCAGCAGCAGGTGCGGTATTAATGTGCCAGCCTCACCCGCAATAGGTGCTCACACAAGTGCCTGTTGTTCAGAACCCAGGACTTCCCGCTTGCATCACTCATTTTTAGGTGCCTTACAAAGCGGGCCGGACACGGTTAGGTCACAGCCAGATATTCCTGCCAAACGCTAGGGCGCCCTTTCCCGCCTCTCTGACCAGCTCCAAATGGGGTGTGTGTGCATGAGAAGGAAGTGGGGGCCCGGTCGCCCTGTTCTCGCTCTCTCTCTTCCTCTGAGTCCACCCTGCAGATCCTCAAGTCTCAGGCTTCCCTCCAGTCCAAGGATCTCAAACTCTAGCACTGAAAAGATACGGACCTCAGCCACGGATGCACTTCCCACTCGTGGCTTTTAATTTATATTTTTTGGGGAGGGAGGGGGCGTGCAATGAAGGGGAAGAGGTGGGGCAAAGGGAGGAGGCGGGACCAGGGTGACTGACGTGTTAACGGGGAGCCAATAGCTCGTGGGGGGCGTTCCTCCCCATTCAGGACTCCTCGCCTGGCTCGGAAGGTATGTTAAACAGCTGCTTTTAATTTGGTCCCCCCAATCTCGGGCGTTTGGGGGGCTAGTCTGCCAGCCGCTCGCTTTAGCCAGCCTGCCGCGGTGCAGGCACCACGGGCCTTAGGACAGAGCTTGGGGGTAGCTAGGAGTCCGGCGGCCGAGGGAGCGAGGGGCAGGCCAGGAAGGAGAGCTCTTGGCGCCGCCCGCTTGCCAGTGTGTGTGTGTGTTTCCAAGCCGGGAGGGAGGCGTGGGGAGGGGGCTAGCCTGGCTTAGGGTCGCCCCGGCGCCGACCGCGCTGCCCAGTGTATCTAACCGAGCAGTCGGCTTCGGTAGGTTTCGGCGGCAGAATGGGAAAGGGGTAGGCAGAAGGAGATTCCCCGCTCCTGGAATGACCTCCCTTTTGAAAAAAATATTGTAAAGAAAAAAATGGGGGATTCCGTACACCTACCGGAACCAGGCCCGGATTGTGGCGCGCGGGATCGACAGGGGGCGGCGGCCCTAGCCCGACTGGCCGGGACCACTGACCTCGGGGTGCCTGGAGTTGATCAAGAGCAGGAGTTAGCCAGCGAGCCGAGGCCCGTGGCTTTCCCCGCTAACCACGCTGCACGAAGGCTACAGTCGCCTCAAGGGTTTTGTCTGCCTGCAAACTTGTCGGAGGGGGCGGTGGGCGCGCCCCAAGGAAGCGCGAGCGCCAAGGGCTCGCGGTTGTTAGGGACTCTGGGGGCGGGGGCAACGCCGGGCTTGCGGGAGGAGCGGCTGGGGGCGGGAGAGGCCACCGGAAAGAGTCCCCGCGTCTCGGCATCAGCCCGCGCGCTACTCGGAGCTCTCTCTACTCCCGGGCTGTGGTGGCCGAGCCAGCATTCAGCGCCGGAGCCCACCGGGCCGCGGGGTGTAGAAAGCCTCCAAGAACTAGGCGGCTTGGTCTCGCAGCCACAGCTGATTCCGTTGCAAATATGGAGCTGCCTCCTTCCCCTCCCACCCCTCGGCGACAGCGGCGGGGCTGCTCCCTTCCCTTCCCTTCCCCCGGTCGTGCCGCTGCCGGTCTCCCCCTTCCCGCGAGGTGCCGCTGCGGGCCGCTCGGTCTCGAATGGGGCGCGGGCGCGTGCGCGCGCCCTCGAGGGGTGGCCTGAAAGGGGCAGTGAAGGTCGGAAACTGGGAAAACAGACTCCACGCTCGGAATCGGGAAAAGGAAATGCATCAGCGGGCGGGGAGGGGCACGGGGGGCGCGTCTGTCAGTCGGAAAGGCGGCCTTCGGCAAGCGGCGGGCGGGGATGCAGGCGCCGGCGCGAACTGAGGGGGTCAGGCGGGGCGACACCGGCAGTTGAGGCAGAAGGAATTGGACCCGTGGAGCACCTAGCTTCTACTGCCTCCACTCATTGGCTCAGCCTGTTTACTATACTCCGGCGGAGGCTTGTGCAACCGGCCGGGAGGGTAGCTGAGGGGCGGGGCCCTCTCCCACCCCCCGCTGGCTCCTTCAGTGGCTCCGCCTTCTCTTGTTTCCCATTGGCTGGGAAAGTCTCCCTTTTTTTCTTCTTGGTTGCCAATTGGGTGACATTCTCCCGAGCTCCGCCTATCGGGAGGTCGGACTGGAGTTTAAGTTGCTAGGATTTTTTTCCTGTGAAAGGCGGAGGGAGGATTCCTGCGACTTACGTGAGGCGCAAGGTTCCGCCCCTACCTCTGATTGGTGAAATGCATAGCTCCGCCTTTGACGGAGCGAACTGGGAGGGAGAAAAAGTCAACCTCTCTTCCCTCCTCCTCCTCCCCTTCGCTCGTGTGCGCGCTTCGCACATGTATGGGGCGCGCCCCGCTCCTTCGAACTGTCCTCCCGCCCGGAAGTCCTGAGCTCGGCGCCCACGGCGTGGGGGACTGGGGGGGGTGTGAGGGTGGGTGGGATTGGAAGCGAGTGAGCGATCAATGCACACACAAAGATCGCTCCTAGAATCGAGATCTGATAGTCTTCGGGGTGCAGCTAGGGTGTGACTATTGGGGGCGTAGTCGGGAAAGAGTGATATCTGCCCTTCCGGACTAGGCTAAGTATAAAAGTTCTGACCCTGCTGCCTGGCTATTCTCGCACACTAGAGGCCCCTTGATTCCCATGAGATTGCCCTTAAACGGACACCGGCGTCCTTAGTTGGTTGTTTAGGTTTGGCACATGGCAGTTCGTCTCCCGTGGCAGAGGAAGTCAGGGGCAGTCTCGTTTGGGTCGGGTTTGGAGTAGTTCTCCATGTCCAGGTAGAAGCGACTTGTGGCATTTAGACCTGGGAAGGAGGCCCGCTCAGGGTTAAAGGCATTTCCGTCCATTCTACCAAAATGCCGTTTCTCCGAGAGGTTTGACCCGGGGGTCCCTTTCGTTGACCTGCCTTATTTTTAGAGCTCCGTCCCGGGGCAAGGCTTGGCTCCAGGCGAGACTGCTCCCATCTGCCGGCTACTCGTGGTGAAAAGTTCACTATTCGCTGCCATGGCCTCGCGACTCTGAGCCATCCTTGGAGTCAGGCCCACCTGTTGCAAGCGCTCGTTTCTTTCTGTCTGTTTTTGCTGGGTTGCAGATGGAGGACGACATAGTAGGAGAATGTAGGAGCAGATTCCTGTGGCCTACCAATTGGGGACCCACTTGCCTCTGTGTGTGTGTGGGGGGCAGCCTTTTTGCTGGAGTGAGCGGGAAGGCTCTAGTCCCGCCCTCTTTCCTGTGCCTTGGAGTCGGTTCCGATTCATAGCGATCCTGTGTAGTTTCCTTTAGGGATCAGAAAGCCTCGTGTTTCTCTCGCAGAGCGACTGGTAGATTTGGACTGCTGACCTTTCAGTTAACAGCCCAGCTCGCAATCTACTACGCTACCCAAGCGCTACGAGAATGCCCCCAAAACCGAGGCCAGTGTCTTTCCTCATCCCTATTAGTGAATAAACGAATGCAACCTAGTTGTCACTTGCACGTCTGTGTGTTCGAGGCACTATTACCTACACAGGGAGGAAGAGAACAACAGTTATCTGTTGCTCCCAACTCTAATTTTTATCCTTTCTCAAGTGTGGATCTAACCCCCAAGGATCATTTTTGCCGTGATCTTTTCCTCTCCTTCCTCAGCTCGATAAGTCTGAGGACTCCTTCAGACTTACCCGGGAGATCGCGAGTGTCTTACGCTTCACGCTCCGCCTTCCGGAGGCTTGCTAGGGCGGCGGCTGTTAGTGCCCTGCCTTTCTTTTAGTTTTCTCCTCCCTTTTAGAACTGCATACTCAGGTTTAGGGAGTGTCGGAGTTAGGAGTGAGCAGCCCCTCCTCCCCGAAAGGTGGACTGGCAGCCCCTGAGACTATATTCTAGCTTAGGTTTTCAACCTTTAATATTGCATTCTACCGAATGGAAGGAGCTGCCGGCTGTGCTTCTGATAAATACTCGTATTTGTGTTTTCTAGGACGTAGCGTGTGTGGAAACAAGAGTATAAAGATAACTGAGTGGGAAGGATGAAGTTGTCTTTCTTCTCATTTTTTGGTAAGGGGGTCCTCCTGGCTGGTAATGTGCTGCCTTTTCTCTTTAAATCCCAGGGTATGGGATCTCGACTGCTGATACCCGCGCCATCCCTAGTCTCCAGCCCTGGAACTCTAGTGCTTCAGTCTCTAGTGTAAACATTCCACAAAAGGACTGCTAGGGTTCAGCCTCCTCGCGTAGGGCGGAGTCAGCTCCTTCTAGACGCGAGTCCTGACCAATGGCTGCTCCCAACAGGGCCGAGCTCTCGAATCCGAAGGTTAGGGGCGGGGGCGGACCCGGCAATCGGGTAGGAGGAGCCTACTTCACTTACGGACATTTTACCCCACAGCGGTTACTTACCTTCCTGGGGTGGTGGGAGAGCCCAGGGTAGCCGCCTTCCAATGCGATGACCGGCGGGGCGGGAGCCGACTTGTAGGGCCTGTGGGTGAGACAGTGTGGGGCGGGATTTGTAGTGTCCTCCAATGAGACCTGAAGAGCTTGCCTGCTTCCTCCAATAGCGTTGCGGCTTGAGGGTGGGATTCAGCAATCCCTCTCCAATAGGCGGGGTTGAGTTGGGAAAGCTCCCCGCCAATAGGGGCGTGGAGAAGGTAAGCGGCTCCCCCTCCCCTTCCAGCCGAGGGGGAAGGGGCGGGAAGTCGGCAGACGGGGCGTAGCGATTGGCTAGATGTTTGATGGGTGGATAATGCGGCCTGTGGCGGAACGAAATTAAGTCTTCCCTCTGCGGGGCGGGCCGGAGGAGTGGGCGGGATTTCCCGGGTAACAGAGAAGCGGCCGCGGCGGTAGAGGCGGCGGAGACGGTTTCTCCATCTTCCCCCCCTCCCCTTTCCCCCTTGGAGTTTCCCTCCCTCCCTCCCTCCCTCCCTCTTCCCCAGGCTCGGCACCGGGGCCTGTGATCGCTTGGTTAGTGGAGAGGAGGCTGCCAGCCCGCTTCGGCGGGCCTGTGCCCCGCGCTGTTCTTAGGGCCTCCCAGCTGAGCCCGAGGCTTACGCCGTGAGGGACACGCAGTGACTTGCGGCTGAAGCAGCTTTGCGGTGAGAGCACGCTAGGCCGAGGTCGGGGCGGAAAGCCTGAGTGGTGGGTAACGCCGAACTCGAGGGTGTGTGTTTTTAGGGGTCTGACCTCCCCGGCTTCCCGTAGAGAAGGCAGGCGGGATGTGTGTGGATGTGGGGGGGGTTATGGGGGGCGGAGCAGGGTAGCTCTTCGTGCGGGAGGGGGAGGAGAGCGTAGTCCCGGTGAACGCGGAGGGGGCGGGCTCTCGCGCCGCCGCTCAGGGGCGGGGCCGGCGCGCGCGTGCGATTGTGGAGGAAGGGGCGGGGCCGAGCTCCCACTAAGTGCTGTTTGCGGCAGACAACCCCCTGTCCGCTTGGGGTGGGCGGGGTCTCGTGGGCGTCCGTGCTTTGGGCTTCTGGGGTTGGGGGACGGCTAGGGGTCTCCTGCGTGTGGTTTCAGGGCACGCGGAGGAGGACGCATGAAGTCTGCGTTCCTCAGTCTTCTCTGGATCCGGTTGGCCGGAGGGGCAGTACCGAGCAGCAATGCCACTCCCCTTAGCCGTCCCTCTGCCGGAGTTTCCGCCTCCTTGGCAAATGAGGCGGGGCTGGGGAAAGCCCGCTGTGGAGTCAAGCTGGGAGCTATGGCGCCCAGATTTGCCCCTCCCTGTGTCCCGGTGGGGTGGGAGGAGCCCCTGCTGACTGGGAGCCGTGGAGGTGTCAGGACTTACTCCTGGCTCGGCCATGCCTTCTGCCTCAGGCACTAGGGCTGGGTGCCAGAGCTGTAGTCTCCGGTTTGCTCCATGCAGCCTGGATGGCACCGTGCAGCCAGGAACGTCAGAGTCCGCTCTGAGCTGTAATTATTGGTGCGAGGTGCTCAAGATCCTTTCCGAAGTTTCTGGGCCGTCCAGTGCAGCTCTCGTTCTTGGCTATGCTTCTGCAGCTGTGATGGTGGGGGAGGGGCGGAGCGGCTTCAGAGACTAGAAATGTTGCCGGGGGACAACCTTGCCAGGAGTTCCCTTAATGTTCGGTTACCGTGACTGTACGAGACGGGACTTCCTTTGAGTCAGTGAGGTCGTGCGAGACTTAGCGACTGTTCAGTGCCTTAGAATTTCAAACCCAGTTATCCATGAAGAGACAAATGGAAGCTCCTTCACAAGGCTGGAGATTTATAAATAATTGGATTTGCATTCTGCTCCCCAAACTGATCTGCTTATAAAATACCTTCAGAAAAGTTCAAGAGACTTTGAATAAAATACTCCTGTTTTCTTTTTCTTCGACTCTTGCATTTCTGAATACTTTCATTGTGCAGGTAGTTTTATATAAGCTTAGTTTCACAAATAAATAAGTTATAATTTAAGTAACTATGGGTGTTCTTGAAAAGTTTTCCTTTTCTGGTTTGTGTAATTCTGTTAGACCATCTAGGCGCCTATATATTTTAAAAATTGCAATGTTCTTGCTTTTTTTAAATTAGAGAGTAGGGTGAAGTTGAGAAGTAGTCAGGCTTTCCGTGTGTAGCTTTTGTAGCCTTGTGCTCCAACCTGTAATGGGAGAAGTGTGCTTAGGACATTTTAGGTTCAATGTTGTATGCAGAATCACGTTAAATTGGGTTGCTGACTTGAATTGCTTATTAAGGGATATTGCTTAAACCTTTACGAATTTTTGACCTTTCTCTTGAACTGTTAAAAGGAAGTAACCCTGGAGCCCTATGCCATGAAGGAATGCTTTTTTATGCACTAACACCCAGTGAGCTCTGTATTGTGTGAACTGGGATGACATTAAAAGTTTCAGGTTGGGATGTGTATTTGAAGCTTTGTGTAAAAAGGGAAACCCTCACCAACTATTAAGTCACAGAAATAGCAATGGCAGCAGTAGCATTTGGGGCACTGTGGGCTAATGCATCAGACGGCATAGTTGTTTGAACTGCAAAGTCGGTAGTTCAAGCTCACCAGCTGCTCCTTGGAAACCCTATACAGGGTCATTATGGGTCAGAATCGACTTGACGGCACTTAACAACAATGGTGAAGGTAATGGGATTGGTGGAGACAAAATATCTAGGTGTTTTTATGATGCTGTTTTGATTTGATCAACTCATAGTTGTTCACATGAGCAGTGCTGTGTGCTGGGAAATAGAAGACCTAGTTCCTGCAACTAAAGGGTTTGCTGTCTAGTTGACGAATCAGGGTCAGAAGTCCTATATTGTCTTTAAGGGTTCAAATAAGGACCTGGTTAAGGAGCTCTGGTAGCGTAGTGGTTACGAATCGGGCTGCGAACCACAAGGTCAGCAGTTCGAAACTACCAGCTGTTCCACGGGAGAAAGATGAAACTTTCTGCTCCCATAAAGATTTACAGCCTCGGAAACCCTGTACAGGGTCGCTATGGGTCGGAACCGACTCGACGGCACTTAACAACAACAACAACAATACTTACCTTTCTTCACATACTTTCTTGTTTCCATTACTTAAAAAAGTGAGTACAGGGTGTATTTTAGGATTTTTGTCTTTTCCTTATTGCAGTTTAATTCTGGATATTTGGGTTTTGTTGAAGTGAGAGTCATATAATGTAGTAACCTATTCAACTATATACCTGGGTAGTCAGTGAACCAGAGCTCTGCCAGTAGTACATTTTTGGCAAATAGTTTAAGAAATTTTAAATTCCTGACATTTTTTCCTTCTTAAATGTGAATTTGAATCCTGGTGTGACTCTGTGCTGTACTGCAACGTCTGTTTGAACCACAAGGTCAGCAGGTCAAGCTCACCCGCTGCTCCGCGGAAGCCTTATACTAGGTCACTATGAGTCAGACCGAAACATTGGTACTTAACAACCAACCAACAATTGTCTTTCAGTTTTAAAAACATACATATTTTTTAAACCTTGACTTTCTTTAATTATATACATTTCTCTTTGGATCTTTTTCTTTAAAGAACATGCCTAGTGGGATTGGTTGTCTGTTTTTGTCCTTGAGCCATTGATAAGACTCCTAGCAGATATTCTTTTTCTCCTGAGAGGACTGTATCAGTAGCTCACACAATGCATCTAGATTGGGATTTAACTTTCCTGATAGTCTCCATGTCCAGGAGAGTGTTGGCACACTGTAGGTGGTGAATAAATAAATTGCAAACAAAATTCTAATGACATTTTGAAGTTTGCTGACTAGAGAATATCTCTGGTTAATTCTAGTTGACTTCAAACGTGTTAGCCATTTGTTGGTTGCAGTTCCCAGTGGTTCACTTTTTTTTTTTAACCCCTCTCTTTGGTCTTACATTCCCTAGCCTCCTTTCCTCCTCTGTATTTGAATGTTGTGTTTACTACCAGCATCTTGACTGTCGAACCTTCCTCATCCAGACCTACTAGGTCTAAATCTCTTATTTGAAATGATAAAGTATGAGATATTTTTGTTGTTTGCTTTTGGTACATTTGGCTCCACAGCTAATTTGGGGGCACAACCTGATTTAGGCTGTCCCACTCAGAACAAGTGTTCCTGTGTTTTGCTTCAGAAATATAATGTGCTTGGGAAGCAACATCAAAACATACCTTTATTACCTTTCTAAAATCCATACAGTGCTGAGCTCTGATTTCTGGGGTCTTACGCTTGCTTTAAGCTCTTAGGTGATGTGTAAGGGCTTATATATTTTGTTGCTGTATTTTATGAGGCTCAAGTAGGGGAATTGGTTCTGTTTTGTAGTTATATTAGGCTTTTGTTAGGACAGGTTCCTTTGCTTTGAATCCCTTCCTTGCATTTGTCACTCTACAAGAATTTTTGGTTCCTTTTTCTAAAGTTACCACTTTCTCACTTGCAGTTTAGTTTTCGTGAAAATCAGTTAAAAGTTAGAAGGTGATTTCCATGTGACGGCATTTGCTGTGGTGACTGCTTTCACCCTTTGCTTGGCACATTTCTTGGTTAACTTCAAAACCCAATATGAGGTACATTTTTTTCAAAATCTTTGATCATTCTGATTAGAGATTCTTCGTCAAAGAACTGTAACTGGCACACGTTTCTTTTTATACAAGTAATCCTTACGAAGTAACTATGATGTGTTCTGTGGGGATACAAAGCCGACTAAAATACTGCTCCTGTTCTCCAGTAACATATAATGTAATGGTGGCAGTGTGGCAGTGATCCTTGTGCAGGACCCCAGAAATCAGAGTTCAGTACTGTATGGAGTAAAATGTCAGTTGTCAGATAGAGGTGATGTGAGCAGCAGTTTCAGACTAGCAATTTCAGATAGAGTACGAAGCAAGGATCAGAAACACTTACATGATCTGGTATTATTACTAATGTGAACTTTTTTCTCTTACCTCCCTGATAATTTATAAACTTCTGAAGAATATCTTGCATTTACAACAGGATAGTTTTGATGAAATGAACTGTTAACTTTGCATGTAAATGTTAGGGGAAACTAGGGCTGAATTTTAGGTTTTAACCTAACCATATTTTTGTTGTTTTAAAAAAACCAAAAAACACAACATATATATATATATATATATATATAGTTGCTAAGTGCCATTGAGTTGGTTTCGACCCATAGGGACCCTGTATAGAGTTTCTAAGGAGCAACTGGTGAGCTTGCACTGCCAACCTTGTAGGTCAAACGGCTTTGCAGTCTGGCACATTAGCCCACAGTGCCACACCAGGACTCCATATGTAATATATTGTTATTGTTGCTAAGTGCCGTCGAGTCAATTCTGACCCATAGCGAACCTGTATAGGGTTTCCAAGGAGCAGCTGGTGAGCTTGAACCCCACTGACCTTGCAGTTCAAACGACTTTGCAGTCTGACGCATATTAGCAGTCATTAAAACCATACATCAGAGAAAAAGAAAAAAGTGAAAAATTCTATAGATTCTGACCACCTGGAGATAACACAGTAATGTTGTCATTTTGGTGAACATCCATTCAAACATCTCTTTATATCTTGACATATACAGAAAAGGGTTTTAGAAATGGAGTCTTGTTCTATCTGATTCTGTGCCAGGCTTTTTATACTACCAGTAAATCATGGTAATGTCTTTCTGTATCTGTGCAGCTAGTTCTACACCGTCACT